TAAAACCTAAAAATAAAAAAAATAGGCCCCCCCATCCATACCAGACCCTTCGGATTTTAAGGGGAACCCCATGCCAAAATGAAAAAATAAAATGGCCCAAGGGCTGATATGGATTTTGAGGGGAACCCCATGACAAAAATTTAAAAAAAAAATGGTGTAGGGTCCTCCCAAAATCCATACCAGACCCTTATCCGAGCTTGCAAACCAGCAGGCCAGGAAGGGGGGGAGCGAGAGCCCCCCCCCCCCCGAACCATACCAGGCCACATGCCTTTGATGCGGACAAGGGCCTCTTCCCCAGTACCCTAGCCTGGTGGTTGCGGGGGTGCAGGGGGTGTGACTTATCGGAATCTGGATTTTGAATGAGTGTGAATGAGTATGGGGTGCATCGTACCCCATACTCATTCACCAAAATGTTAATAAAAACACAAATGCACATTTTGGCAAGCCCCTTGTTAAAAAAAAAAAATAAAAACATGATGGGAGAAACAGGTAAACACTGAGGCGGGGGTCACCCGGTGACGTCACCAGGTGACCCCACCCCATGTTTAGCTGTCATTTCCTGGATGTCTCCCGACAGGACAGTTTTGTTCAGTGGGAGGCAGGGTTTTTTTGTTTAGGTCACTGTGATTGATGCTGGATTTACATCAGTGGGACATGTTTTTATTCTTATCAATAAAGGGCTTGTCAAAAACTGTCTTTGTGTTTTTATTTACTTTCCAAATTTTTGTTGAATGAGTAGGGGTACTATGTACCCCATACTCATTCACATGGGGGGGGTGGGATCTGGAACCCCCTTTTTAAATGGGGCTTCCAGATTCTGATAGGTCACCCCCCATACCCCCCACATCCACCGGGCCAGGATTGTGGGTGAGAGACCCTTGTCCTCATCAACATGGGGACAAGGGTGCCCCCAAAAGTACTTACCCATGTTGAAGGCTTGTGGCCTGATATAATTCAGGGAGAGGACGCTCACTCCCCCCCCCCCCTTTATCTGGCCTGCTGGGTTGCATGATTGGATATGGGTCTGATATGAATTTGGGTGGGGGGGCATGCCATTTTTTTTTTCCATTTTGGTGTGGGATCCCCCTCAAAATCCACACCAGACCCAAAGGGCCTGATATGGATTGAGGGGGGACTTCCATGCTGTTTTAATTATTTTTTTAACCGATACTTGTTTTGTTTACTTTTTGCTGTCAAACCCACTCAGATCCGACAGAAAATAGAATGAAGACTTTGAAAACTTTTCAAATCCACCTGGTATATCGAATATATGAAGCGAATTCTGAATAAATTAAACAAATCCTGAAATTGAACAAGTCCGACACAACGAAAATGAATAAATGAAATTATCGATCAAATTAATGTATCCCAAGTAAAACAACATTTTCCTGCGTGCACATGCCTACCACAGACTACTCTACTAGACTCTACCCTTCCAATTTACAGGCAATCTGCCTAAAGGGGCAGAGGCAGGGCATCACTTCCTAAGAGCGGTTAGGAGGGGTCAGATTAAAAGGGACTAAATTGACCTCTTTCTATAGGCTGTCGTCCAGCCCGGAAGCTCCTCAGCATCTATGGACTGCAATGCAAATGTACACTACTTTTTGGTGGACCACAGAAGAAGTAGAGAGAAACGACATGCTTCATAATAAATGTAAGTCAGTTCTACAACACAAAGCCACCTTAATGGGGAGGCTGGAGTTGGGCTTACCTGTAGCTTAGTGGTTAGCACTTCTGCCATGGAGCACTGGGGTCCTCAGTTTGAATCCTGACCAGTTTGTATGTTCTCTTTGTACTTGTATGGGTTTCCTCCCAAAGGCATGCTAGTATTCCGTAGATGAAATTAACACTATTTTAGTAGACTAAAATACAACTAAAACAATTCTGATGACTAAAATACGACTAAAACTAAAGTGGTATTTTAATCAAAAGACTATGACTAAAACTAAATCGAAATTTGATGTCAAAATGAACACCGCTGGTAGATTAGTTGGCTCCTGTTTAAAATTAGCCTTGGTATAACATTCCACTGAACGTATCCAAGATGGCCACCTCTCCATCTGCCTCAACAGCAGATAAAGTGTGTTTTTGTCCCCAGGGAGAAAAGTGCTATAGAAATATTAATGCTGATTTCCAGGTATAGATATTTGTACATGCAGTGAAAAAATATTTGCCCCCATCTGACATCCAGATATTTGTCATACCTAAATGATTCAGATCATCAAACAAATTGTAATATTACACAAAGATAACCCGAATAAATACAAAATGCAGTTTTGAAACAATGATTTCATTTATTAAGGGACAAAAGCTGTCCAAACTTGCCTGGCCCTATGTCAGGGATCCCGGTATGACCAGAGATGTGTGTAGACCGACACAGGGAAATGCAGACTTCAGGTATAGTATAAAACAATACAATTTATTAAAGGCTAAACAATACATAAACGCAGTGCAAGGCTAAACGTAAACACAGCGCAAACAAAACCAAACCTCCAACAGATAACAATATGTACAACACCAAACGTAGTTGGGCAGGTCGGGTCGGTAGCTAATGGGCAGACAAGGTACAAGGAGCAGGCAGGAGAGTGGTCAGGAGTAGCCAAGGTCGGTACAGGCAAAGTTCATCTAGAGTCAGGATCAAAGCAGAGAGTCAAGCAGGCAGGATACAGGATCAGGATACAGGGCACAAGGGAACAATACACCAAGGCACTGATTGCAGGCCTGTTCCTGCTTAAATACACCTCCTGCAATCAGCCTCAGGAGACACTGGCTGCTGAGAGCACCTGCTGGTCAGCACTGGTACTGCAGCCCACAAGGCAGGTAAGCCCCAGCACTACCAGAGATAAGACCATTCCTGACACCCTATGTGAAAAAGTAATTGCCCCCCCCCCTTGCTAAATCATGAATGGATTGTGATTAACCACATTTTTTGGAAAGTTAATTTTCACTTGCCACACCCAGGCCTGATTATTGCTAGTTAGTAAAAGATAAATTTTAGAGGTTCAAATATAAATTACTGTATCACCCAATATATGGCTTCCATCCAGTAGCCAAAAAACATGCAGACCAAAAGGGGTACATGGTACAATTTTTGGAAAATCTCCTTCAGGGAGTGTAACCTATATGGTAACAATATATGCTTATATATATATAGCATGTGATATTATATACCTATGGTATAATTTTTTGAATACACCTACAGGGAGTGTAACCTATGTGCTAGTGCTGCAAATGCTTCAGACTATGGTGGTCATAGCCTTTGCAGCACATATATTTAGACCGGTCTTGGTGTGATTTTAATTGGTTTTAGGTCTGTGTGTATTGTCTCATACTGGGGTGATGGTAAACCAGGGCGATTGCCCGTGTGTCAATCATTAATGTGTAATAAAGCATAATTTTTTGGAAATTTTTCTGAGTATTGCATTCTGTTCATAATGTAGCCGCTTTCCTGTGAATCTCTTTTCACAAACCCCTTTTGGTCTGATTATTGCTAGACCTGTTGAATCAAGAAATCACTTAAATAGAAGCTGTATGACAAAGTGAAGCATGCTAAAAAATCCCATAAAGCAACACATCATGCTGTGATCTAAAGAAATTCAAGAACAGATAAGAAACAAAGTAATTGACATTTATCAGTCTGGAAAGGGTTACAAGACCATTTCTAAGGCTTTGGGAATCCAGGGAATCATGGTGAGAGCCATTATCCACAAATGGAAAAAATTTGGAACAGCGGTGAACCTTTCCAGGAGTGGCCAGCCTACCAAAATTACTCCAAGAGCAAAATGACGACTCATCCAGGAGGTCATAAAAGAACCCAGAACAACATCTAAAGAGCTGCAGGCCTCACTTTCCTGAGAAAGCCACTGCTGACCAAAAAGAACACAAAGGCTCATCTCACATTTGCCAAAAAAATCTTGTTTATCCCCAAGAATTTTTGGGGGAATATTTTGTGGACTGATAAGACAAAAGTTGAACTTTTTGGAAGGTGTACATCCCTTTAGATCTGACATAAAGCAAACACAGCATTTCATAAAAAGAACATCATACCAACAGTCAAACATGGTGGCGGTAGTGTGATGATCAGGACCTGGACGACTGCCATAACTGATAGAACCGTGAATTCTGCTCTCTGCTAGAAAATCCCAAATGAGAATGTCCGGCCATCAGTTTGTTACCTCAAGCTCAAGCGTACTTGGGTTATGCAACAGAACAGTGACCTGAAACACACAAGCAAGTCCATCTATGAATGCCTCAAACTAAGGGTTTGGAGTGGCCTAGTCAAAGTCCGGACTTAAATCCCATTGAGATGCTGTGGCATGACCTTAAACAGGCCATTCATGCTCAAAAACCCTCCAATGTAGCTGAATTTAAACAATTCTGCTAAGAAGAGTGGGCCAAAATTCCTCCACAGCGATCTGAAAAACTAAATGCTAGTTATCACAAACGCTTGTTTGCCATTTTTTGCACCAAGGGAGGCACAACCAGTTATTAGGTGTAGGGGGGTAATTACTTTTTTAACATAGGGCCAGGAAGGTTTGGACAGCTTTTTTCCCTTAGCCACTTCAATACCGGGCACTTTTACCCCCTTCCTGCCTAGGCCAATTTTCAGGTTTCAGCGCTCTCACACTTTGAATGACAATTGCGCGGTCATACAACATTGTACCCAAACTAAAATTTTATCATTCTGTTCCCACAACTAGAGCTTTTTTTGGTGGTATTTAATCAGCACTGGGGTTTTATTTTTGGCTAAATTAACAAAAAAAGACCAATTAGTTTGAAAAAAAAACATGTTTTTCTTTGTTTCTGTTATAAAAGTTTGCAAATAAATAATTGTTCTTCAGAAATTTAGGCCGAGATGTATTCTGCTGCATGTCTTTGGTGAAAATAACCCAAATCAGTATTTTTTATTTAGTCTGTAGGAAAGTTATAGAGTTCACAAACTATGGGATATATGTGAAAAGTGATCAATCCTGAAGTACTGACAGCCATTTAATTTCTTGAGGCCCAAAAATGTCAGGACAGTACAGATATCCCCCAAATGTCAGGACAGTACAGATATCCCCCAAATGACCCCTTTTTGCAAAGTAGAGAGTCATTTTCTGTATATTACCGTATTTTTCGCCGTATAAGACGCACTTTTTCTTCCCCAAAACTGGGGGGGAAATGTCAGTGCGTCTTATGGAGCGAATATGGAGCGGCCGGTCCGGTATTTCCACCGCGGTCGTGTCAGAATACCGGGCCGGCCGCTCAGCTCTGCAGCGGGACCTTACCTGTACCTCTATCCAGCGGCGCGCTGTCTTCCCTGCTTGTGTAGTGCGGGCACTGGGCATGACAGCCGGGTGCCAAGTGCGCATGCGCAAGAAGTGGTGCTTTTTGTGAATGGTAAGGCGGTACCTGGGACACATGACCGATCCCAGAAGCCGCCGGACCAGTCACAAAGCGCAAGTGCTTCTCGCTCATGCGCACTGGGCACCCGGCTGTCATGCCGAGCGCCATTACAGAAGCCGGGAAGACAGCGCGCGGCTGGATCGAGGAACAGGTAAGATCAAACAAAAACTCTGCGGAAGTAAGAGCGGGTACCTGTCAAATTCAGGTACCCGCTTCCCACCTCCCCAAAGGTCAGCAGTCATCTGTACTGTCCGCAGTCTCTGGTCATCCCTGTGCTGTCCGCAGTCTCTGGTCATCCCTGTGCTGTCCGCAGTCTCTGGTCATCCCTGTGCTGTCCGCAGTCTCTGGTCATCCCTGTGCTGTCCGCAGTCTCTGGTCATCCCTGTGCTGTCCGCAGTCTCTGGTCATCCCTGTGCTGTCCGCAGTCTCTGGTCATCCCTGTGCTGTCCGCAGTCTCTGGTCATCTCCTGTACTGTGTCTGCAGTCCATTAGTTCAGCATTTTTTTTTTCCTGTTTTCTGCCTCTAAAACCTAGGTGCGTCTTATGGTCAGGTGCGTCTTATACGGCGAAAAATACGGTAGATCTCTGTGGTCCTTGTAACCCACATACTGTGTACTGAAAGGTGTCCCTCTTTATCATTTCAGAAAATCGAGAGGTATGTCCACCATGTTGAAATTCAACTCTTGCTTCTAAAGGAATTTCCCTAGATAACAATCAACAAACTATTAAAGAATACAAAGGCTTAAAAGGGGATTCTAGTAAATTGCTGTGCAAAGAACACAAAATTGCCAAAAGCTTTTACTTAGGCAGGCCATAGATTAGGATTATTAACCAAAGCCATGTTTGTGTGTAATCCTAGGAACATAAAGAAACAAAACAAAAAAGCAGCAACCATGCGATGAGATACAGTGCCTTGAAAAAGTATTCATACCCCTTGAAATTTTCCACATTTTGTCATGTTACAACCAAAAACGTAAATGTTTTTTATTGGGATTTTATGTGATAGACCAACACAAAGTGGCCCATAATTGTGAAAAGAAAAATTAAAAATGTTTTTCAAATTTTTTTACAAATAAATATCTGAAAAGTGTGGCGTGCATTTGTATTCAGCCCCCTTTACTCTGATACCCCTAAGTAAAATCTAGTGGAACCAATTGCCTTCAGAAGTCGCCTAATTAGTAAATAGAGTCCACCTGTGTGTAATTTAATCTCAGTATAAATACAGCTGTTCTGTGAAGCCCTCAGAGGTTTGTTAGGGAACAATAGTGAACAAACAGCATCATGAAAGCCAAGGAACATTTACGTTTTTGGTTGTCACATGACAAAATGAGGAAAATTTCAGGGGTATGAATACTTTTTCAAGGCACTGTAGTTCTACATTAAAGTTCAACTGTAAACACCTGTCATCCAACGGTGGTACCTGCTTTTATCAGCCAGAAAATGGCTTTCTGATAAAAGTGATTGGGGCATCTCTAGAGATCACTTCTAGTGCCGGTTTACATATATGCGGTTTGAACTGCATCCAATCCTCATGACATGTGAAAACACATTGCATTTTTGGCTCATTCCACACATGTTAAAAGAGCACCAAAAACACTTATTTTGTAGAAAATAAAGTATAATGTTGGGCAGCACAGTGGCTAAATTATTATTATTATACAGGATTTATATCGCTCCAACGCTTTACAATATAAAGGAAGACAATACAGCAACAATGCAGTTCAATACAAGAGGGTTGGGAGGGCCTGATCCTGGGAGCTTACAATCTAAGAGGGAGGGGCTGGTGGTACAAAAGGTAATAGGAGGAATAGAAGATTCCGTTATTAGCTAAGAGCAGGATAGGCTTCCCTGGAGAGATAGGTTTTCAGAGATTGCCTAAAAGTGAGCAGAGTATATGATAGTCAGATTGGGGTAGAGAGTTCCAGAGGATGGGGGAGGCTCTGGAGAAGTCCTGGAGACGAGCAATGGTGAAGGAGACAAGGGAGCTAGAGAGTAGGAGGTCTTGGGAGGAGCGGAGAGTACGGTTTGGGTGATATTTGGAGACAAGATTGGTGATGTAATTTGGGGCAGAGTTATAAATGGCTTTATATGTGATTGTTAATGTCTTGAATTTTATCCGTTGTGCAATGGGAAGCCAGTGGAGGGATTGGCAGAGGGGGGTGGAGGACACTGAATGGGAAGCCAGTGGAGGGATTGGCAGAGAGGGGTGGAGGACACTGAATGGGAAGCCAGTGGAGGGATTGGCAGAGAGGGGTGGCAGATACAGAACGGTTAGTAAGGTGGATGAGTCAGGCAGCAGCATTCATGATAGACTGAAGAGGGAGTAGCGAACTGGTTAGCACTTCTGCCTGGCAGTACTAGGGTCATTGGTTTGAATCTCGACCATGGCACCACCTGCCTAGAGTTTGCATGTTCTCCCTGTGCCTGCATGGGTTTCCTCCCACACTCCAAAGACATGCTGGTAGGTTAATAAGTTCCTGTATAAATTGTCCCTAGTATGTGTATGTATGAATGTGAGTTAGGGATCTCAGATTGTACACCCCTTGAGGGTTAGGGACTGATGTGAATGTACAATATATATATGTAAAGTGCTGCGTAAATTGACAGCGCTATATAAGTACCTGAAATAAATAATATATAGAGTGATCAAAATTGCAACCAACACCATTTTATTCTTCAGGGCCTCTGATTTCAGAAGATACATTATTGTGCACACATGTTAAAATCTGTAGTATGTTAAAAAAAAATGTAACTAGAAATTACTGAAAACCTTCAAAAAGTATATACAGGTGAAACTCGAAAAATTAGAATATGGTGCAAAAGTTCATTTATTTCAGTAATGCAACTTAAAAGGTGAAACTAATATATGAGATAGACTCATTACATGCAAAGCAAGATAGTTCAAGCCGTGATTTGTCATAATTGTGATGATTATGGCTAGAGATGAGCGAATCGAAGTAGGCGAAGTGGAATTCGTTTAGAATATTAGGAAAATTTCGATTCGCGTTGAATCCGAAAATAAGCAGACTTCGCGAATCAAAATTTTTCCTAAAAAGGCGGCGACATGTGCGGCGACGGAGCGGGGATGTCTGGGAAGGCGCGCAGACAAGGCGCGCTGACCCATAATGCATTCATTCATGACATGTGATCGCATTAGCCAATCAGCAGCCAGCCAGCCAGCACAGTGTAATGGTCGAGCTATAAATGGCGGCCATTTTAGAATTCTCCATTTGCCTCCAGTCATTCAACAGAGGCAGACCTGGCAGTATGCAGGGAGAGAGTTAGGGACAGAGAAACGTTACTTAGGGCCACAGAAACGTTAGTTAGGGCCACAGAATCGTTACTTAGGGCCACAGAAACGTTACTTAGGGCCACAGAAACGTTACTTAGGGCCACAGAATCGTTAGTTAT